CTTCACTAAGGGTGCCCCACCATCCTTGTCAACAAAGCAATGCAATGTGCTCACAGGGCGCCAGCGCACTGTCCAGATTATGCTGCAATGTGCACTTCGTATTGTTTTTGACAGGGATTGTGGAGGGTGATGGCAGGGTGGGCCCCGCAATGTGCAGTCTGTATTGTTTTGGACGAGGATGGTGGGGGGGGTGCCCGCATGGTGCCCGCATGGTTCCGGGTTGGCTGCCGGCCGGGTGGGGGAGGGGGTGTTTATTTATAGGGAACAGTGATAATCCCCTCCCGGTAGGTGAGAAAGAGCGTGTTCTACCGCTGCTGGCGGAAAACCAGGGGGGGCCACTGGGGGTTCCCAACCCTTCCCCCCCCCATCGAAAACTGGGAGGGGGTCACTACCGGTTCGAACCCCTCCCCCCCCCTCCCAGTCCATCATGAAAAGGGGGGGTTCACTACCGGTTCGAACCCCCCCCCCTCGAAAACCAGGGGGGGGGGGTCACTACCGGTTCGAACCCCCACCCTCGCCGCCGGCAAACGATTCCCGCTCCTCGGGACAGTTGGACAATGGTGGGGATACTGGGACAGTGGTGGGAACGGTGGTGGTGGGGACAGTGGTGCGGGGACAGTGGTGTGGACAGTGGTGGGGACGGTGGTGTTGGGGACAGTGGTGAGGGGTCAGCGGGACAGTGGTGGGGACAGTGGGACAGTGGTGGGGGCGGTAGTGGTGGGGACAGCGGTGAAGGCGGTGGTGAGGAGAGTGGTGGGACAGTAGTACAGTGGGGAGAGTGGTGGGACTGGGGACAGTGGGACAGTGGTGGGGACAGTGGGGACGTTGGGACAGCACAGTGGGACAGCGGCGGGGACAGTGGGACAGTGGTGGGTACAGTGGGGACAGTGGGACAGTGGTGGGGACCGTTGGGAAAGTGGGGAGAGTGGGACCGTGGTGGGACAATGGTGGGGAGAGTGGGGACAGTGAGACACTGGTGGGGACAGCGGGGACAATGGTGGGAACAGTGGGGACAGTGGGACAGTGGTGGGGACTGTGGAACAGTGGTGGGGACGGTGGTGGTGGGGACAGTGGTGTGGACAGACAGACAGATCCCGCACGGCTACGAAGCCGGTCCTGCACAGGACACGGGAGGAAAAATATCATGCAAAGCTCACATGTAACACGCCGAGACACAACGACCACACACAAGCACAGTGGGAATGGTGGTGGGAACAGTTGGACAGTGGTGGGGTCAGTGGTGGTGGGGACACTGGTGAGGGCGGTGGCGAGGACGGCGGTGGGACAATGGGACAGAGGTACAGTGGGGACAGTGGTGGGGACAGTGGTGGGAACAGTGGGACAGCTCGGTGGGACAGCGGCGGGGACAGTGGGACAGTGGGATAGTGGGGACAGTGGGACAGTGGTTGGGGCCGTGGAGAAAGTGGGGAGAGTGTGACCGTGGTGGGAACAGAGGTGGGGGCAGTGGGAACAGTGCAACAGTGGTGGGGGCACTGGTGGGGACAGTGGGACGGTGGTGGGGACAGTGGGGACGGTGGTGGGAGCAGTTGGGACTGATGGTGAGGACAGTGGTGCTGGGGAGGGACAGCAGGTGGGGGATGTGGTGCGAGCGGTGGTAGGGACCCTGGAGTCGTTTGCCGGCGGTGAGTGTGGGGGGGGAGGGGTTCGAACCGGACCCCCCCCAGTTTTCTGGGGGGGGTTGAACTGGTTGTGACCCCCCCTGGGGTTTTCCGGAGGGGGGGGAGGGGGGGGTGTTCGAACCGGTAGTGACCCCCCTCAGTTTTCCGGAGGGGAGGGGGGGGTCTTCGAACTGGTAGTGACCCGCCTCGGTTTTCCGGAGGGGGGGAGGGGGTTGAGGGTGGGGGGTTGCCTGGGGGAAGGGAGGGGGGCGGGGATTCCAGCAGGGGGGGGGGTGTTCGGAGGGGGGGGGGGGGCATCCCCGGGTTACGGAAGAAGAGGGGGGGGAATTTGTGGTGGATCACGATATCTCGTAGGTGAAGAGGTTTTATTTTGGAAGAGGGAAGAGGAATCTCGTTACACCACCTGTCTCCCAAAGGGCTGGTGGGATTTCTGAGGGCCCCCCCAAGGGGGGGCCGCCAGGGGTACGGCCTCCGTTCGCGCCAAAATCGCGGGGATGTCTCGAGCGGTTTGCCTGTTTGCATGCCCAACATCCTCCGCTTTCGGAGCCGATGTGGAGGATGTCTTGAGTGAGGTGCTCATTTTCGCCCCTGAGGGGGGCCAGATTTTGAGGATGTCTTGATCGGTTTGCCTGTCTTGGTGGCCAGAGTCGTGGGCACAGATTCTCCCCAGGATGCCACAGGAGGCTCCAGCAGGCCCCAGGAGGCTCCAGGAGGACACATGAGTTTCCAGGAGGCATCAGGAGGCCACAGGAAGACTCAAGAGGCCACATGATGTCCCAAGGGGATCAGGAGGGCCCAGGCAGCTCCAGGAGGCCTCAGGAAGCCACAGGAGGCCCCAGGAGGCCACAGGAATCGCCAGGAGGCCCTGGAAGGCAACAGGAGGCCCCAGGAGCAGGAGGCCTCAGAAGGCAACATGAGTGGTTCCACTCCCATGTGTTTTACGTATGCTCCTATAGATTGGGCCTCACCTGCAGCACGAATCCTTGATGTTATACGTATGTTTCTATATATTGTCCCTCTCCTGTGTATGCAATACTAAATGTTTTACGTATGTTCCTATAGATTGGGCCTCCCTTAGGGCACGAGTCCTTGGTGTTTGGCGTGTGTTTCTATATCTTGCCCTTCTCCTGTGGCTCCAATCCGCAATGTTTAATGTACGTCTGTTCCTATATATTGGGCCTCTCCTGGGGCACGAATCCTCTCTAGGAGGTCCCAGGAGGCTCCAGGAGGCTCCAGGAGGCTCCAGGAGGCCACGCGAGGCTCCAGGAGGCTCCTGGAGGCCCTAGAAAGCCCCGGGCGGTTTCTGGAGGCCCCGGGAGGCCCCCGGCTCATGCGCAGAGACGCGCTCGTACTACTGAGATTCATTCACGCTCCAACTCATTCGCAGTTAGATTCATGACCAGACCGTCACAATCAAGCCAGCTTATATTTGAAAACTCTTGCGCCCAGACACTGACGGCGGACAGGTCCATGCGAATGGATCCACATATGGGGAGTTCCACGCAGTGAATAATCATTACGTTGACCGCGCGGAGAAAGAGAACACACCTCCCACCCTCAGGTCATCATTCTCTGACTCACCCACATGTCGACTCACCCATACTCAGACCCACTCATACACATATGCACTCGCAGACTACTGATACTTAGGTTTCTCATGCTCGGGATCACTCGTACACAGACTCGCTCGCACTTCGAGTCATTTATCAGACTCAAGGTTAATCATACTCAGGTCACCCACACACATTCACACTCATATTCGCTCAGACTAATTCTCAGACTCACTCACACCCAGACTCACTGACACCCCGACTCACTCATACTCTGGCTCGCTCTTCCCCCACTCAGACTCAGCCACACTTCCGCGCTTGGATTCAAAGGCATGTTGCGATGGTGTCGCAGGCGAGGCGCTGGTTTCGGCACTCCCAAAGGGGGCCGCCAGGGGGTATCTCACGGACCCGTTCGCGCCCAGATTGGGGGGATGTCTCAGGCGGTTTGCTGGTTTCGGTGCTCAACATCCTTCTCTTTGGGAGCAGTTTCCGAGGATGCCTCAGGCGAGGTGCTGGTTGCAGCAATCCCAAGGGGGGCCGCCAGGGGGTATCTCACGGGCCCGTTCGCGCCTAGATTGGGGGGATGTCTCAGGCGGTTTGCCTGTTTGAGTGCTCAACATCCTTCTCTTTCGGAACAGTTTGCGAGGATGTCTCAGGCGAGGTGCTGGTTGCAGCACTCCCAAGGGGGCCCGCCAGGGGGTATCTCACGGCCCCGTTCGTGCACATTTTGGGGGGATGTCTAAGGCGGTGTGCCTGTTTGGGTGCTCAGCATCCTTCTCTTTCAGAGCAGTTTCCAAGGATGTCTCAGGCGAGGTGCTGGTTGCAGCACTCCCAAGAGGGAGCGCCATGGGGCATCTCAGGGGCCCGTTCGCGCCCAGATTGGGGGGATGTCTCAGGCGGTTTGCCTGTTTGGGTGCTCAACGTCCTTCTCTTTCGGAGGAGTTTCCGAGGATGTCTCAGGCGAGGTGCTGGTTGCAGCACTCCCAAGGGGGGCCGCCAGGGGGTATTTCACGGGCCCGTTTGCGCCCAGATTGGGGGGATGTCTCATGCGGTTTGCCTGTTTCGGTGCTCAACATCCTTTTCTTTCGGAGCAGTTTCCGAGGATGTCTCAGGCGAGGTGCTGGTTGCAGCACTCTGAAGTTGGGGCGCCAGGGGGTATCTCAGGGGCCCGTTCGCGCCTACAAATTTTGGGGATGTCTCAGGCGGCTCTCCTGTTTGGGTGCTCAGCATCCTTCTCTTTTGGATCAGTTTCCAAGGATGTCTCAGGCGAGGCGATGGTTGCAGCACTCCCAAGGGGGGCTGCCAGGGGGTATCTTACAGGCCTGTTCGCGCCCAGATTGGGGGACTGTCTCAGGCGGTTTGCTGGTTTCGGTGCTCAACATCCTTCTCTTTCGGAACAGTTTTCGGCGCCCTGATAGGTGTTCAGAGGGATAGAATGAGAAAGCGGAGGAGAACAATGAGGAGGAGGAGGAGGAGAAGGAGGAGGAGGATGGGGAAAGAAGGAGTAAGCAGCTAGTTAAAGTCGTCGTAGTCGTCGGCGTCTCTCTCGCTTTCGACTTCCACATGAACTCGCTGACATTCAGATATTGAAGATGACAATACCTTTTACCGAAGCGTGCCATCACTATGAGATGCACATCTGGGGATCTCCGCGTCGAGTAATTTGACTATTGTCTATTTTTCCTCCGAAATCCGCTTCTAGGAGGACATTCCCGACCTAAGCACAGTGGCGGATACACAAACGAGTCGCAGTATGACTTCCCGACGCAGCCCGCGGCCGCGGGCAGCGTCTACGAGCGGGAGCAGGCCGATGACGACTGCCGCGGCGGTGCCGGGCACGAGCGAGAGCTGGGCGACGACCACCGCGGCGGTGGGAGGAGCGGGAGAGACGGAGACCATTTGGCGGTGGCAACAGGTCTAGGCCTCCCTGATAGGGTCAGACTCAGACGTGCTCGCGTCGTAAAATAATCACGACAAGAGGCTTTTCGCTATTTTCGGCCGCCAGGGGCTCTCGCCGGTCCCCGGGAGCGTCAAGAAACGACTCAGGATGAAAAGCCGGCCCCGGGGACCGCGTACTGAAAACATCGGGACGTCGCATGTCTGGGGAGTAGATGGGGTCAAAGGATCGCGCCGCCGCAGCGCCGATGCGTCGGCAATGCGGCTCGACGTGGAGCCCGGGGTTATCCGCGCCGACGTCGCCGATGTCTCGCTGGCGTCGCTGATGCATCGGCGATGCCCCAGGGCCCTCACCGATCGATTCGGTGGGGCCCGGTCGTGATTCTTCGCGATGCTTTATTTTTTCCGTAGTGTCGGGTGCCATGGCGGATGGCCTTGGGGCGGGCACTGCGTACACGCATTCGTCCAGGAGCCTCGTCGAATACACGGGCGATGCACTCAGGGGCAACGTTGGGGGGGTAGGCTCAGGAGGGGATGCATCGACCCCAAATCGCCCATTGCTCGCCGACAGGGGCCTGGGACTCGCTATCGTGGGCCTATTTTTTTTTTTTTTTTTTGTTTTATCGACGATCCCGGGCCGATATCTCCCCCCCTGAGCCAGTCCCTCCTGACGTTGCCCCTCCTACACGTATTCGTCCAGGAGCCTCGTCGAAGACCAAGGGTGGTCGGAGCCCCTGGGTACGCGCGTGAGCCTCCGCCCTCGGCTGTCCCCTGACCTCCGCCGACGTAGTTCTTCGCGGCCCCACAGCTCCCGACTTCTAGACCTCCTAGATGGGGTCGGTGTAGATGGAGTCGGAGGATCGTGCCGCATCGCCGATGCAGCGCCGATGCATCGGCGATGCGGCTCGGTGTGGGGCTCAACTTTCTCCACGCCGACGTCGCCGATGCATCGCTGACGTCGCCTGTGCATCGCCGATGCAATGCCGATGCATCGCCGATGTATCGGCGATGCGGCGGGATCCTCCGAGCCCATCTACTCGGACCCCATCTGGGAGGCCTCTGCGACCCCTCTCCGGGGTCCGCTTTGCGCCCCAGGTCCGTTCTTGTTTGTGCCAGGGCCCCACGACGGGCCCCCGAATCGGCGGCGAGCCCGGGGGGAAGTGAGGAGGGGCCGGTCTTCTCAGAAGGCTCGGAAGCCCCTGGCCTTCGGAGATGTTGTCGAAGCCTTCCCCGAAGACTCTGAAAGCTTCTCGGAAGGCCGGAGGGCTTCTGAGAAGCCCCGCCGCCTTTGAGAAGGTCGTCCGAGGGGGGAATTTATACATGACCACCGCCTGGAGGATAAGTTTTTCGTGCCCTCGGTAGGCGGTGGATATATTCGGGCCCCCTGGGGCTAACATATATCCATATCCACCGCCCGCTGGGGCACCACGACGTCTGTTCCCAGGCGGTGGATATGGATAAATCCTCGCCTCGCAGGTCGTCTCCTTCTCATTTCCCCCCCTCGCTCGACGCCAACGGAAGGCCGGACAAGTCCTGCCGTCGGAGCTCTCGGCCCCGAGGGAGGAGGGTGGGGCGTCCTGCCCGCGGCGGAGACGCTCAGCGCTCCGCACCTGTTGCCAGGAGGGGGAAGAACACACACACAAACACACGCAGAGACACACTGAATCGCCGATTCCCAGGAAAATCTGAGAAGTGTGGGGGGGGGAGACGAACACCCAGAAAATAGGGGAAAGCGGGGCGAACCAATGTCCTGTGATTCGTGTCTACTTACTTGTGTGTCCCTGGGCCCCTTTACCAGTTGCAGCGGCCGCGCCATGGGGGCGGCAGAGCTGACCGGGGCGGAGGCGTCCGCGGCCCACCACGGGCGGACGCCCACGCCGGGGACGCCTGGGGCGCCGAGCCCGCCCACGACCCGAAGGGCAGCTTCCTGGACTTCGACGCCAAGGGCAGCAACCTGCAGTCCTCGCGCGAGCTCTTCATGCAGCAGCTGCGCGCGAGCCAGGGCGCCCAGAGCGGAGGAAGGAACGCTGGTATCGGCACAGGCTTTCGTTCGGTCGCAAATCATGGGAGCCTGGTGTACCCTTGGAATTCCATCTTTAGCGTCGATGAGCGTCGATGAGCGTCTGGGAGTCGATGAGATAGGGCCGATTTAGCGTCGATCAGCGTCGATCAGTTTCGATTCGCAAGAGCCGACAAGATGGTATGGGAGGCTCCCGTGAGTTGCCACCGAACTTTCGGAGCTCCGCTCGGACTTCTCGGGTCTGCGCCTGACCCCACTCCTCCCTGGCGCGCGGAGAGCGCCAGGATCGGCGCCTCGGGGGGGTCCAGTGCAGATCCAAGAAGTCCGCCATGCCGAACGATCAGCACGCACTCATACTCAGGAGGAGAAACAAAAACCAGACCAAGTAATTAATCATCGACTCCCGGGAAAATGTGGGAAGAAGTGGGAAATGGGGGGAAGACCACCACCCAGAAAATACGGGAAAATAGTGGGAACCCTGGGACATGTGTCGATTTCTTTGTGTGTCCCAGCGCCCCTCTTCATACCCACAGCGGGGTCGGAGGGATGAGGACCGGCTATGGATGTGGGCGCTGGCGGCCAGACCGCGCGGGGGGAGGCTACCGTTCGAGCGGGTGCCCCCCCCCGTGCGACAGCCTGTGCCAATAGCCCCCCGCGCCCCCCCCTGGTGCGTCCGGGCGTGCGTGTGCTGCTCGTTCTCCTCCTCCTCCTGCTCGTTCGTGGGCTTGCGTTTTGTGCAGCTGTTTCTTCCTCTGGAGAAGGGCGGGAAGCGCAGCCGCAGCCGGAAGCGCAAGCGCAAGCGGAGCTCCAGCAGTTCGGGCAGCTCCAGCAGCAGCAGCAGCAGCAGGGGCAAGAAGCGGAAGAAGAAGAAAAAGGAAACGAACGAAGCGAAGGAGACGAAGGCAGCGGCTCCAGAGGACGACGCAGAGCGCATCAACCGAATCAAGAAAGCAAGGGAGATGCGGAAACGCAATGCTGCCAGCGATCGGGCCAATAAGGCAGACGATTGCGGTACGATCGACGACTGATGTGGTAATCAGGGCGTCGATAAGACTCTGCTCTGCACAGGCAACCACTTTGTGGAGGTTTCTGTCTATCCGTCGGCTCTTCAAAGTACCTGTCAGCGAGATGCTGGCTTTCCTCTTGACAGAGAGCTGCAGCTTGGGTTGGAATGAATACGTGCCAGCCGAGAGTTCCGAATCGGCGTCGCTCTCGGATTGTTGTGCAATGAAGTCTACGTTTAATACATGTCATTTCAACAATCACGCGGTCAGTTTCGATGCGTAGTTTCTGTGTCGAGCTTTCTCAGTATTGGAGAGTACTAGTCTGGCAGCCTATAGCTGAGATATCAACGTTTCCTGCTGCATGGGTACAGCTCGAGCGGCAATGCGACGAAGAGCCCTCAGCTCGCGACCAGCAGCCGCCGCACATCATGGGCGGAATGCCTGGAAGTAAAAACATGATGTTAGCACGTGAAGCATGTTCTAGACGCTTCGCGTACTCCCACCAGCCAATCCAGAAACGATGCCCAGGCGAGTTGCCAAAATCAGGCATGTTGGCGAGCACGCAATGGAATAAATGCTGGGAGGCCATCATGCCACGAGGGGGAGGATGGAAGAGGAACCGTTGGAGGAGGAGGATGAGGAGGGGGGGGAGGAGGGGGATGGGGGAGGAGGAGGAGGAGGAGGAGGAGGAGGAGGAGGAGGAGGAGGAGGAGGAGGAGGGGTGGGGAGCTCGCGAGGGATCGGAGGACCGCGCGGACGACGCTTGCGCGATAAGAGGGCTTCGGCTGTTGAGATGATCAGAAGCAGGGGTCCAGACCTCCCCCGCCTGCCTCGTGCGTCACGGAGCTCTGCTCTCACAGGCACCCCGACTTCTCGTTCGGCACCGTCGCCAAGTTCAAGGAGTGCGCCGAGCGAGGGACAAGTGTCATGGGCGGAAAACAGATTCGTATCCGCGGCCTCGTGGGTCGGGCCCCTGGGCCGCGATTCCGCGGACACGGGGCATTTTTTCGCGGATGCCCCGTGCGGAACGTCTCCGTGCGACCGTGTATCCGCGGGTTCGCGCCCCGGAATGCAGACCGCGAGGGCGCGGATAGGGATTTGCGCGCCGCTCGTGAAAGTGGATCGAGGACAGGAGGCTGATGGTAGGAGCTGCAATTTTTGTAGCAGTTTTGCAGGTTGGCGCCCATGAGAGGGGGCCTGTTTCCACTGCTGTAGTACCCCATGCGTACCTCGAGGGTTGAGTGAACTTCCCTTCTATTTCCTTTCTCTTCTCTGAGGTTCGGAGTCAATCTAACGTGCAGGTGCAGTCATGGGTATGTTGTATGTCGTCACCGACCGGTTTTAAGTATAGGAATGATCCTAAACGTCCCTTTCAGATCCAGCGAGTACTAATGTTGGCTTGGGGGAGTGCATGCACATACTATGGCAAGCTGCGTCAAGCTGAGATGGACGACGTCAATTTGGCCAATTGCGGTCGATTAGATTCAGCTGATTTGTATTAAGCCAAGGTAGCGCACAGCACGGTACGCTTGGAGGAGATATGCGAACAGGAAGGCAGCGCCAGCGGAAGCCAAGACACGCCTGGCGAAGGTAATCATAGTGCAAGCTAGTGCAGGACAAGTCCAGCACCATATCAAGGTACTCTTAGGCATATGAGGATCAAGTGTGCTGCCATGTCCAGATACGGAGTGCTCGATCATGCCTGCATGATCTGACGACAGCGAGCCACATGCAAACGAAGGGCGGCTAGGCTACAGCGGGCCAGCGCGAGCCAGGCAACGGGAAACTGATGCAGGCCAGGCCAGGGCATGCCAGGCCAATGCAGTTCCGACGTTGCGAAGAGAATGCAGCACCGCGAAAGATTACGACCGGAGCCCAGACCCCTATGTTTCTGCTTCATGCTTCGAGCTGGATCGATCCGTGATAGTCCGATGGCCCGGAACCAAGCGCAAACGCCCTGTGTAACAAGAATGCACCGGCTACTATGATTGTGCTTTTTGGTCGGGGGTGGACAGACCTTCTACCCTGACACGTCGATTAAGGAATTGGCCGTTTTCGGTTGGCGAGAGGGCGTCGCGGCCGTCATTATTGCGGGTCTAGGTCCGTGGGTTTCGGTCCCAGGCCGTTTTCAGTAAAGGGAGGTTTACTAAAGGGAGGGTTGTCCACCGCCGACTATGATTGTGCTCTGTGTCGTTCATGGCCTCGTCTTGTGTTCTGCGATCCACTTTCTACTCTCCGACGCCTGCGCCGATCCCTGCTCCGGCGCCCTGCCCGGTACAGTATCGATCAGTCGGATATCACATACCACGTCGGCCTTTCCCACGGTCTTGCCGAGAAGTGGAGGCATTGCAGCGGGTGTGTCCTGACGAGAGCCCTGCTCATACGAGTATTCCCACCCACTTTGACGTTTAGTGCCATCCGATGGTTCACGCCTGATGCTTCGTTGCAGCAAGCGACAGGTCAGGGAAGGCATGCCGGGCCCATGGTGGTCCATGGAGGGTGCACCACGGCTGGGGAAGCCAGCTGGTACCGATACCGCTACTCCGCAGTCCTCTTCGGGGGTGCGCTCTGACCAGAATTTCGAGGCGAGTCCAGCCGTGGCGACGAGGGCCCCCCAGGTCCCGGGGGCCAGGTCCTTTTGGGACCTCCTCCTGGAGCCCTCCAAGGTCCTTTTGGCGCCTCCTGGGCCCTTTTGGGGCCTCCAGGTCCTTTTGGGACCTCCTGGGCCCCCCAGGTCTTTTCGGGGGCCTCCCGAGGGCGACGAGGCCCCCCCCAGGTTCTTCTGGGGCTTCCTGGGGGCCCCAGGAGTCCCCTAAGAGGGAAAAACGAGGGAGGGTTATAGCAGTAACAGTACCTTTTTCCCCTCTGGACGGCAGCCTCTTCCGAGACGGGGCGATACCGGGCGAGGTGATCGTTTTTTATTAACTGTTCTGCCGAGCGGCGCGGGCCCTCGCACCCCCCCTCCACCCCCACCATGGAGTAGATCTTGGCTGTATTTGGCGCCTGTTTCGAGCAGGTGGAGTCTCCCCCACAGGACGCACTGTGGCAAACGCTCGCATCAAGCAGAGCTCCAGAGCCAGGCCCCCCTCCCCCCCACTCCCGCCCAGTGTCGAAACGCCGAGTAAGAAAACGTTCACCACGCCGGGGTCGTGGGCCCCGCCGCACCCCCGAACACCCGCGAGCACGCCGGGTTGGAGCCCGGGCGCCGGCGCCCGCCCTTCGTGTCGACGCGGCGGGCGACTCCAGGATCGAGGGTCGGGAGATCGAGGGATCGAGAGTCGAGGTTCGAGGATTCGAGTAGGGGTCAGAGGAGGAAAAGATAACCCCGTGCCGATGATAATGAAGGACCCCCCCCTTAACACGCTAGAGTTGATTATCCACGGCCAGGAAGAGTTTGGTCATGGGCGCGGGGCGTGGAGGCCGAACTTTTTTATCACTGTGAAAAGTTCATCATCGAGGTTAACTTCCTTCTTATGTTGAGATAGCAACATCAAGCGAAGCGACGACGTTTTCGAATCTAATAGGTTTGGAACTTTGGATTCTCTTCTCCTCCTCCTCCTCCTCCTCCTCCTCCTCCTCCTCCTCTCTCTCTCTCCTTATGTCTGTCTATCTTTCTCTTCTCTCTCTCTGTCGAACTGTCTGTATCTTTCTGTCTCTGCCTCTATCTGTCTTCCTCCTTCTCCCCCTGGCACCCTGAATTGTTTTTATCGCTGTGGTTCGCTATTCACGAAGACCGAGGCGCGTGAGCTACCCTACACGAGCAGATGATCTTACTTTCCATTATTTATTTATTAGGTTTGGAACTTTGGCTTTTCTTCTTCTCCTCCTCCTCCTCCTCCTCCTCCTCCTCCTCCTCCTCCTCTCTCCTTCTCTCTGTCTATCTTTCTCTACTTCTCTCTCTAACTATCTGTATCTTTCTGTCTCTGTCTCTCTCTGTCTTCCTCCTTCTCCCCCTGGCACCCTGAACTTTTTTTTATCGCTGTGGATAACTATCCACGGAAACCGAGGCGCATGAGCTACCCTACACGAGCAAGGATGTCTCAAGGGAAACAACATGTGTTTGAGGATCTCTTAAAAACGAGGACGTCTCAAGCGAACCGAACAATTGCTTGAAGATGTCTCAAACGAAACGAGCGATTATTGTATAATGTCTCAAGCGAAACGAACAGTAACAATCTCCGTAGCCATTTGGTGGCTCAAGGTTTCGAGCTCTCCAAGATAGTTAGTTGCTCCAAGCCGACAATGGAGCAGCGCGTCGTGCTCGAGGAGTCTCCTCGGCTTTCGGTCCTCTTAACATCATTTTCTCCTCCCACATGCTGGCCTCCGGTAGGCAACATGTATAATCCCCCCGTGACCCCGAACTTTATTATCCCTGTGGGATTATTCTCCGGGGCGCAGGGTTATCCATACCTCTACCCTTCGGCCCGCTTTCCCTTTTTTGGGCCTCTTGGGAGGCCGTCGTCGCCACCACTGGATTCGCTTCAAATTCTGGTCATGACGCACCCCAGGTGAGGTCCAGGGGGTAGCGGTATCGGTGCCTGTTGGTTTCCCCAAGTGGATCGACTACAGAGGAGGCTGGTCCACAAGAAACCTTCTACAATAAATCCAACCCTGGGACCCCAGGACATCCATTGATGTTTGGTGTGGGAACGACACGTTTTCCATCGCAAAACCATCGGAACCCAAGAAACCGAGGGCACTCTGGAGGCAGGCAGGGTGCTTCTTGGAATAGGTTTCCATGGTACAGAATTGATTTACCCTAGGAATTATTTATCCGCCGAGAGCCTACGACAAAACATACGCAGAAGGTCCCGCAGATCTACGAACATCCCTCGGCGGGACAGTCAAGTTCGGCCTGCATTCATTCTGTAGTCCGTCCCTTCTTCTTAGGAGGCGAAAAAACACGCGGACACAACAATTCACCGGCGACTCCCAGGAAAAGTACGTGGAAACAGGGGACGCGGGGGGGGAGGACGAAAACCCAGACAAACACGCAGAGAATCCGTGGACTCATGTCTACTTAT